GTTATTTGTGGAGAGGAAGCGTTCTAGAGATCGGCCTCGGGAGTTGGTGGTAGAGTCACCTCATAGAGTGTGGCGGCAGTTGAAATCACCAACTACGAGGAAAGGTGGTTGGAGTTAGGAAATTAGAGTTTCAAAGGCAACAAAGTCAATGGGATGGGATGGGGAGAAGTAGACTGAAATTACTGTGATCCAGCGGCGAAGAAAGATGCGAATAGCTGTCCACGGGACAGAAGTTTGTATGGGAGGTATGACATAAGGTGTTTTATGGTGGATAAGTATAGACGAGACATAAAGGCAGTGTGGGAAAGAGATAAAATGGTAATTGGGAATTGGAATAGGAGGATGTGTGAGGAAAGTCTCTTGGAGGCAGATAATGGATTATAAGAAGCAAGGATATGACGTAGGTCTGGTCTGTGAGAACGGAAACCGCGAATATTCCAATGTAAGAGAGCTATATCTTAGTTATTTTATGAGTGAAAGCGTCGGTACGTGTTGGAGAATCTGGGGGGAAGGTGCTAGGGGGTGTGAAGGAGGGGTATCAGGAGGTAGGGAATCTGGGGAAGGGCATTGTTGTGACATGAGTGATTCACGTGTGTATCCGGGAGGGAGTGGAAAGGATAGAGGGGATGGATGGAGGGAGAATGTGCGTATAGTTGGGGTTGAAGGGGGTGGGTTGTGTTGGGAGGGAGTAGGAGGAAGTGGTGTGGGGGGAGTATTAGTAATAGGAGGATGGATAGTTTGAGTTGAAGGGAATGTGTTGTCTTGGGAGGGATTAGGAGGAAGGGGTGTAGGGGTGCTGAGTAAGAGGGGGATGGATATCAGGAGGATGGGTATTGAGAGGATGGATATCGGTGGTGGACAGAATTGAGGGGGTTAGGTTGTGTTGAGAGTGAGTAGGAGGAAGGGGTGTAGGGGGGATATTAGTAGGAGGGGTATGAATATCGGCAATCACTTCAAGTGTGGAAGGAGCATGAGTTATGGGATCTTGTGTCTCAAGCATATAGCTTTGAATGTCATCCATTGTTTCTGCAATGGAGTTGGTTGGAGAGTTTTGTGGGACAAAGGTTTTCTTATGAGGGGGGGAGAGGAGACTAGTGTCTCATGAATAAAGGTAAAGGTAGGTGGAGGTGACTGTGATGTAGGGGAAGAAGGGTTAGAACATTTAGTCCGTCTACTGCGGGTAGTGCGGGGAGGAGGGGATGGTGTTGGGGCTGTAGTTGAGATTGGGGTGTCTGGATTTAGAGCGGCAAAATAATTGGTCTGAGGGAGGTAGAATGTAGAAGTGGAAATGGGGACATCTTGGGTGGAGGGGCTGAGTGAACGATGCTACTAGAGTATGGAGTATGAGAGAAACCTTGTCGATGTGCTTTCTGTCTGGCTTCACGTAAAGTGAGACCATTTTTGTATCTGAGAGTTGCTACCTCAGATTCAAACTTGTAAGTGGGACAGCCTCTATAAAATACATTACGGTGGTCGCCGCAGTTAGCACATGTACGTGTTTGTGCTGAGCAGTTCAATCGCTGATGACAAGGTTGGGCACATATGGGGCATCGGTCTGTGGAACGGCAGTGTTTGGCAGGATGTCCAAAGCGCCAACAGTTTTGACAATGACAGGGAGGGTGTTGGTATGGTCGAACAGGGAGGCATTGTCCACCAATGTAGATACTAAGGGAAAATTATGTGGTCGGAAAGTAATTTTGGCAATGTTGGTCAGATTCTTTCGTTGACCTCTAGGAGGAATGGTGTAGCAATGTACTGATTTCACATCTTGGTCTTTGAGGCATCCTAATAAGTCTTCTCCACATTCTGACCTATCTTTGGTATCGACTGGGCAGTTTGCTGGGGAGAGAGACAGTTCCGGTACAAGTATTAAGGATTAGATGAGGTTCTGCAGGAATGGGGTTGCCAGAATGATCAGTTAAATTTGATAGTGCTATAGATTCAGTTTCTGATCTGACTGTTACAAGCCGGGAGCGATCGCGTCTGGTATAGAAAAGGACTTTGGCCACTTGTTTTTGGAGGCATTGTTGAAAGAGATGAGTGTTGCCAGAATAAGCTGTAGAAGGGATCACAAAAAATCGGTCCCATTTAGCTGGGCTAAACAGAGTATTTAAGATATCTGTAGGGTTGGTGGTGTGGATGGTCGGGGACGTGTGGAAGAGGGAGTATTACGGAGTGATGGAGAATAAGGCTGTAAGGTAGTTATAAGGGAGGATGGGGTGCTTGATGAAGGTTATGGGGATAGAGATGATGAATTTGAGGAAGTTGGGAGGGTAGGAATGTCTTCTGGAGATTGAGTCTCTGCTTGGGTGGGTAATGCACTAGTAAGCATTGAGGAGTGGGTAGTAGTTTCAGTGTTCGGTGTCGTGGTCAAAGGAGAGCCTGGGGTGGGGCTATTTGATAAAGGGGCTAGCCTCATTGCCCCTTATAGGGGATTACATCTTCATTACTGGTCACGGGGAACCTTGATTATATAAAGTGGTATAAACGGTCCACCTCCTTTCGCTACTGAAGGTAAGGGCTAGACAATTCAATCGGGAGTACCGTGCCCATAGTTACTGCAGGCCGCTCAGGACTGGTACAAGGTCATCCTTTCATCCTTTCAGCACGGCTCTTACACCTTAGGAAGTAGATAGTAGAAGGGTTGGAGAAGGGACGGAAACAAAAAGCTGGAGGGGGAAAAGACCATGCAAAATTAGTTGAGTCGAGGGCTGAGGCCCTAGGTAGGGGAGATCCCTGTATTGGGTCTCAGTCTTCGTCTCCTAAGCCCCACCCCCACGACAACAACGGGCTAAGGATTGAGGGGGGGGGGATTTAGAAATTAAAAACTTCATACACGGACGTCTGATAAAAAGAGACAGTAAAGTCAATGAATACTTTTGAAAGGGAATGTCAGAATAGAGACACATTCTAGACAGCAAAAACTATAAAATATTTTGCTTAAGGCTACTTGGAAGACTAAGACTTAGATTCTTTTTTTAATGAGTAGCCTAATTAATAAATTATCTAAAAAATCCATTGAAGTAGATTCTTAAACCTAAAGTTAGAACCTTATTACAAAACATCTTACATTATAAATGTTCATCATTGCAGGTGCGGCAGTCCTTCAACTTGAAAAGGGGAAAATAAAAACATTTGATCATAAATTTATTTTGAAAATATATATTTTTCATTAATATACAATACATGGCAACAGGCAATGTACAATTGTACACATGCCGAAATGCCATTCAAATAAAAAAATCTAAAACAATAGTATAAAATTCTATTACCACCACACATGAACTTGAAACACATTCCTAATATAGATATAAAGGTGCTGCATATGATGTTAACATATCTTCAAGAGTAAAGACATCTTATTGTCAATGGTAAATGAATGAGAGAGAGAGAGAGAGAGAGAGAGAGAGAGAGAGAGAGAGAGAGAGAGAAGAGAGAGAGAGAGAGAGAGAGAGAGAGAGAGAGAGAGAGAGAGAGAGAGAGAGAGAGAGAGAGAGAGAGGAGAGATATTCTCTCAAAATGTTCTCTTTGGAAATAGTCCCCATTTTTCAAATATGGATCCCTTTGTCAGTATCATTACCAGAACCATTTACATCTGAATTAACCAGGTAATTAAAAATAAAATAAAAAAGGTAACATTGGGTAGTAGAGGTTGAAACTAAAATAGAAGTTCAACAATTTATCAGACATGTTTTATAGAGAAAGATGTTAATTGTGAACATTGGGCAACAAAATTTCCTTAGCCATTGAACAATGAAAGATGCAAAGTTTATTATAAAGAATTTTCCAAAGCAGTTTAAATAACAGTTTGGTGTTAAAATATATTAGGGTGAAATTTACACGTAATAACTCCATTTCAGTGAGGGAAAAGGCTCCTAAAGCTGTAAACCACATATATTACCTGTATCAAATAAGTTATAGCTTTTCCAAAGTGTCAAAACATAATGAATATCAATATGAATTTAAAGTAAATACCCTGAGATGCTGCAACCTATACAACTCTCTTCATGTAATAGGGTTACCATGATTCACACCTTTCCTCCGTGCTGGTTTATGATTAACCGCAGGGGGATTTTCAGTCTGTGTTTGTCCATCCTGTATAAATGAAGGTGGAGAGTGACAAACCTGAGAAGCAACAGAAGTCACAGGTTTATTGGGGTCAAATGAGTACAGAAATGTGTGATGTTCCTGTTGAACAGCTACATGTGACTGGTTTGGATTGAATGGTAAGTTGGCTGACTGAGAGATTGGAGCTTGTTTTGTGCTGATAGCTATTAGAGGAGAATATGAAGCCAATGAATCAACTGGGGTTCCAGGCACAGAAGGGTCAACAGAGTGCAGTGGTGTGTTAGGAGGGTATATATACTGTATTTAATTGACAGGAGGCAGATTGAGGACCTGGAGGTGATTTAGCATTGATGACTAGTAGAGGAGTAAATGTAGCTAATGAGGATCCAGGCACACGAGGAGCAATGGGTTTCAAAGGTGTTTGATATGCCTGTGCATCTGCTGCACCAGGTTGGTTTGGATTTAATGGCTGTGTGGCAGACTTTAGAATTGGAGGTCGATTTTTGTTTTGGTTATTAATGAGGCAAACTTGGAATTCAAAGAAATATTATCTCTTTCTGTTTTTTTTGGTTGAGTTAAAAGTTCCCTAAGACGTTCTCCCTTCCCATGTTTGACAAAATTCTGACAATCAGATTCATTAGAAGTGACACCTGTAATCCTGTTTTTTTCCCCTGAAGATGGACTTTGAATCTCAAAGGTAGTGACTGGATTCTGCATAGAGTCTGTAACAATGACTGGATTCTGCATGGAATCAGCAGGTGTGGCTGGGTTCTGCACAGAGCTAGGTACCTGCATCTGCAAATTTGAATTCTCAAATAACAAATGACTGTTTTGGGGTGTAACATTCACACTTGTGTTGCATACTTCAGACATAGGCACTGGAAGAGATACCATAGGTTGAATCGGATTTTTTACAATAGTCTGAGTAACAAAATTTCTATTCAAGTTTTGAGGATTTTTCTTTGATACAGCATTACTTTTTTTTTCAAACTAATCTGTGATGGTTCTGTTGGTGTAGCTTTGTCATTTTGGGGAACAAAATTTTGTTCTGTTACATTAGTGCTTGACGCCATAAAATTTGTTTTAAGCCATTTTCTTAAAACTCCAGCTGTACACTCTGTATTTTGCCCATTTGTTTCTGGGTAATTGTTTTTATTTCTCAGCTGAGCTTCGATTGTTTTTCCATTTTGTCCTTTCTGTAAATTAAAAGTTTGGTTGACCCACAATCTTAAGGGCTCTTCTGAAGTCTCTAGCATTTCTTCTGCTTCCTTTCCACTTTTTACATTGGATATGACAGGAAGGAACTCATTTTCTACTGGCTCTTCTTTAACAGGTAATGTAGGAAAGATCATTGACAAAGTACTTGAAGGTTCCGTTTGTTTAGCAAAATCTTCCTCAAAGTTTTCTAAGATTCCTGATGCTACAAACAATACTTCATTTTGGCAAGATCTTTCTTTATTTATTTGTTTCTTTTGGACATTAAGCTTCTCCTTTCCTCTTACCTCTGTACCATTCTGATTCTTCTCTAGTCTTTTCCTTTTTGATTTTTGATGAACTACCGTTTCACTAACCTTGCACTGATTATCTCTCTCATTTAAATCCACGGGACTGAGGGAAACGTAATTAGTATGTCTACTTGAACTATTTTTTTCAGTTTCTTGATGGTTATTATGCTCTCCGTTATGTGTTTCATTAACCTTTATGGAGTGACTTTCCTTTGGTGAAGGTTGATCTTCCTGGGGAGAGACTACTGGCTTTTGTACATTTTGGAAATGCTCTGCTATCTTCTTGCTCACTGAGCTTTTTCCATTCTTGTTTTCAGCTGTTATTCTAATTCGCTTGGGGCTCCCAGTTTTGGTAATGTATCTCTCTCTGACACTGCCAGCAGCAACAAACATACTCTGAGTATTGGCACTGCACTCTGAATTTTCTGTTTTCTGGTAAAGCTCTTTTCTTCCTGGACTACTAAAGGTGTTTCTTTTTCCACTGGCATGAGTTAAATTATTCTTGACTTGTACTTCAGTATTTTTAGCTAGTAGCTGGTGACCAATTTCCAAACTTTCTGTCTCTCCTAAATGTAAAGTTACACTCTCATCGCCTTCTGCAATTTCTGAAAAAAGTGGAGATGAATTCAGTATAATGACTTTTCCAACACAACCAAGGTTTATCAAAACCTCTAACCCCTGGTCAAATCTTATGAAAGTTACTGTGTAATATTCAGTAAAAAAACTGATGTGGAAAAAATATCTATAATCAGACATGAAATCCCATAAGATTCCCATCACACCAATCACTGAACTTGGCAGTAGTATGAGAATTCAGAAAAAAAGGAAGTAAACAGGATGCATCTGTAGTTAATTAAACCCTTTAAAGGAATGTCAAACCTTAGGATTATCAATGCTCCTCCCATCATTATCATCTAAAGTTGGGAATTAAGTTAAGATACTTTCTGCGGCTAAAGAGAGTATCTCTGAACTTGAGCATCGAAACACACAGTTAATGACATTTTTTCAAGGATGAATGAGTCCATCAGTGCTTAAAGTAGTGACTAATATGGACTAGCCAAGGTAACTTTACTACTTAAGGGGACCGTCCCGGGGTTGAAATTTTTTTGGTCAAATTAAGTTAGCTAGCATATTGTATAGGTCCATGAATGAGGAAACTACCAAACGACTATTACAGCCTAGCTATGGTTAGTTCTTGGGCGGCTATTGCATCTGTTTTGTGCGTTTCCAACAAAAAACATTATGCTTAAACATTACCGTAGGTCTTAGGTACCATAAATATGCAAATATCCAACCCCATCTAAGCATCTGCATGACTTTATTTACTTCTTAGTAAAGATAATGGGTGCAAATGACTAGTCACCAACTCCACACTTATTTCTCATTGCAATCTGTTACTATTGACAATCATCAAAGAAAACGGTTTGATAGGGATAAATAATATATTTTATTCCTTTACATATAAAAGTCGATGTAGGTCTACTAAATGAGGATAATAAACAAAAAAAAACTTTTTGTGTGTGTTTGCATAAAAATGATCCTCCTTGAAAATTATAAACACCCCGTGACCCTGTGTGGAGCATGGGAAAAAATTCAACTTTAGTATATGTTGAATTCCATGTCCTAAATTCATATGCTTTTAACTCTCAAAATTGAATCACCATGTTGTATTCATGCTAAGACTTTAGAACTAGGACGATTTTGTCCTAGTGATATTGCCATCCACAGTTCTTTTTTATCTGGTTTATATTAGTTATCTTTATGGTTCAATGCATTTGTTAAACTTTTCAGATAGAAATATCTACTTTTATATCCAAAATAAGCAAAAAAACGAGACATACCTTTACAGAATAGCATCCCTATTGAGAATAATTCTGATTGATGTGGTATTCATCGCATCACAAAGTACACTAATTAAGCTTTCTTTTGATATACATCATTAGATTTAGAGAAAAAGGACAGAGATAACGAACTTTGGCAAGTGTCCAAAATGCAGAAAGCCATATCTCTGTTCTTTGTTTAAACAGCGTTAGGAACACCCAAATTTCGTAATTTTTGTTGCTTTCCCTAGAGTATCGGAACCCTAAGGCCATATAAATAGCCAATTTTTGAAATTTGGAATAAACAAATATATATTATGTAAAGCCGAAAAAAATTACAAAAAATAGCACTCTATGTCAACCAGTCTCCCCCCTCTCCCAAAAAAAGGAAATAAAAAAATCGCTATTTATGTGGTCTCAGGGTTACGATGCTCTAGCGAAAG